TGCCCGTCTAGCCCCCGAGAGCACACAGGACCCTCCCTCTGCAGGGGGACCTTCCACGCAAGCAGAGGAACTGGGGCCCTTTAAGCGGGGAGGGGCTGGGAAGATGGCCAAACCCAAACACAGTGGGTCTGTGCTTGCATACCCCTCGTACCAGGCAGCTCAGCACTCATAAGGTCATATCACTGCTCCTTTGGGCTCCTGCCTGTGGGACAGTCTTCCCGCACTGAGAGCCTACCTTTTGTCACTGTCTTCTGTGCTCCTCCTGCTCTGCCTGCTAGGGTCACACCGAACAGCTCTGCCCCTCAACCTGGGTCAGCCCTGCCCGCGGGCTCCAGACTCCGTTGCAATCCGGGCACTCGTGACCAGTGCTCTGTTCAACCCCCGATTCCCCCACAGGTATGATTCCACTTCTAAAGCTGGAGAGAGCAGCTCCTGTACTCCCTGTGATAGTCCATGTGTGGACAGCAAGGAAAAGAAAGGGAAACCCAAACATCTGAACTTTGTAATAATTACCACCAGCTTGGCCGGGCTACCCTTCTAATGAGCCGCCATATGTCCGGGCAGGCGGCGCGGGGCTGCTGAGCCTCAGCAGACAGCTGGGGGGTGCGCAACCCTCGCACCAGGCAGAATCAGCAGTGGGACCAGGAGGTGCTGTGGCCGTGAACACTGTCCCAAAGGCCAGCGTCACCTGGGAACAGCACAGAGGAACCTGGCAGGACCATGTCCCCTTGTGCATTTGGGACACTGAGGCTTGGAGACACAGGACTCACCAGGTCACCTGGAGCGAGAGGCAGAGCCGGGGACGCCCCTGGTGTGTCTGAACACAGGGAACGAGCACTTGGCTGACAGCCTGCACGTATGAGCCCTGCGTCCCTTTTGGACCTCTGCTGCGCCGGGCAGGGTCCCAGCAGGTTGATGACACAGGGTGACAGGCGGGGGAGCTGTGGCGCACTGAGCACTGAGTGTCGGCTCCAGAACGCCCACAGCCCTGCCAGCCTCCTGGCCTTTGCCTCAACTGTTCCCTATGCCTAACACACGCTTCCCCAGCCCCCAAGCCCCGGCCCTGCATAGCTGCTTGTGTCCAGCCCCCCTCCCAGGGGAAGACTTCCCTGACCCCAGCTCCCACCCCTCGTCTCCTGGCCCCTATGGAATCAAGGATTTGGTGGCTGATGTGTCTCCCATGATGACATAAACCCCGTGAAGGCCAGAGCTGCACCTGTCTGGTTCTCAGCCTGTCCCCAGGGCCTCGATCAGTGTGTGGCATTCAATAAAGCCTTGACAAACGAATGAAGCAATTAGCAGCTGACCATGAGCTCCTCAATATGCTCGTGGGGCCTGTAAGGTCTTGGCACACCAGAAGGCTTTTTGGAGAACCAAGGAACACAGCCCGTTTTTCTGGGCCTGGTGTGAAGTAGGTTTTGTACAAGGACGCTGAATGGTCTCTATGGTGGACCAGGAAGAGTCCAGATGAGGAGTCTAGACAACCAGTCTAAAGCCACATTCCACCTGCACCTCTACTTGCCCTTCTGTGAAATGGGAGAGTCCTGGCCCTGCCTCAGGGGCTGTCGAGGTATCAGCTGGAGTAGAGCTAACCTCATCCCGGCCTCCACACGGGAGCAACCAACCTCCAGGGCCTTGATCTGGGCCAGGCCTTCATCTGGATGGGCCCACACGGACTTCACAACTATAACACGGTAGTATCATTTCCTCATTCTACAGAGGGACCAGAGAGGCTAAGGCACCTACCTAAAGTCACACAGCTAAATATTCATAGCATCCCAATTTGAATAGCCCTTCCCTTACTAACCAACCGCCAGCCCATGGCTATTGCTGTGACTCCCCCCACCTGCTCCCAGCCCCAGATGGGGCCCAAGGGAAACCAGGGCAGCTGCTGACACTCCAGCCCACAGCCTGCATGTGCAGCATAGACAAGGTACCCTTTAGCCCTCAGCATCGATGGCTGCATAACAGCAACCAGAAGAGCACGGAGCGGGCCTCAGAAATATGGCTCCTCTCCTGCCTCCTCCACTTGCAGAAACCACAGTTCAAATCCCCCTTCCTACAGGGAGCCCTCCTGGATCTCACCAGGGCCTCCTGGGGTCCCCTCTCTGGCCTGAGCCTCTCCCACTCCTATACTCAGTACTGAGCTTCACATGGCATCAGGCAGTGGGTGTGCCCCCAGCCAGGATGACAAGAAAGGGGACAAGAACAAAATAGGAAGTCCCCAGGAAAGTCTGGAACTAAAGGGTCTAGAACTATCCAGGCTGAGAACCACAAAAGCTGAAGGCAGGAACCACTGGTGGCCTGAGCACAGAGCAGCGGGACTTCACTCAGGCCTCAGAGCACCTGACCTTGGCATCTAGCTGGCAGAGGGGGCCACGGGGCTGGTCCAACTCCCTGGCCCTCGACACACCCATGAGCCTAAGAGCAGGCTGTCAAAGGGCTTATTCAGCCCCCAGCCATAGGGGTGCACACAGCCGCTGTGGGGGAAGGGGATGGACACTGAGTGACATCTGCCAGTCCCCATCCCTTGCTTGTCCTCCAGGCCACATTCTGGGTTCTGGAAGGCCCAGTTGGAAGGCTGGCCCCTGCAGCATATAACAGCAGTGGGGATCCGTTCATGGAGAGTTTGTGAGTGCAGGCACCAGGCCCAGCTAACCCCTCCTGCCGCCTTCACGACCACCGTCTGCGGGACGTACACTCTCACTCTCATTTTGCAGGGAAAGATATTGGGACACAGAGAGGTTAAGTGACTTGCCCAGGGTCACACAGCCCATAAAAGATGAGGCCAAGATTTGAGCCGATACTGTTTGGTTCCCAAGGCACACTATTAACTCCTACAGAATAGAATATTTTTCTGAAGTGTTGTGTATGTGTGTGGACGTGCAGGGACAAGGGCGTGTTCAAAACACGGGGCAAGGAGATGCCGTCCAGGCTGCCTGGTCTGGTACCTGAAGGCCTCTTCTCCTGACTTCCCTCTTGTTCCTCACACTCCAGTCCTTCCAGCACGTTCAGCCAGACTGCTTCTCCATGTCTGCCAGGCAGCTTCCGCCGCCTCCTCTCTGCTCCCATCCTTGGCACCGAGCTCAGCATGTCCTTGAGTGCCCCGTGGTCCTTGATCATCAGGACCCCAGGGAGATCATCAAGACCCCAGACACGATGAGGAGCAAAGAGATGGCAGCAGGCTCCTCCCCTGGCTCAGGGACCATGGGACAGCCCACATCTTCCCTCCACCTCAGGAGGATGCCTTGGCAAGGTGGAACCAGGTCCTAAACCCGCCAGCAGCCTCTGGGCACCAGTTGTCACCACATGGCATCCACCAGACAGCCCAGGAGTTCCCAGACACACTGTGCTGGTAACAGCTCTGCCCAAAGTCCCTGCACCCATACAGTCCCCATGTGCCCCCAAATCAACCCTCAGCCTCCCTGCGTGTACTTCTGATGGTGCAGCTTCAGGCTGTGACCTCTCCGTAGCTGTGAATGCCCTTCTCCTCCCTCACTGCTCAGGTCACCTCACCTCCTCCAAGGAGCCTCCTTGGTCCCCTCCTCACCCTGCCAGCACTTGGCACTCTGTGGCTATTGCCAGCTCTAAGCCCTCTAAGGGCCACTTGGTCTGTCCATCTACAGAATGAGGACACTAAACCAGTCTGCTCAGGGCTGAGTAAGAATTAGAAACAATGCTTACGGAGACTTTAGCCCAGGGACTGGCTTACTGAATTTGCTCAGGAATGATTTGCTGCCCACCACCATCACCATCACAACCACCACCATCAAGGTCACCATCATCACCATCACCATCACCACCATCACCACCATCACCACCATCACCACCATCACCATCACCACCATCACCACCATCACCACCATCACCATCACCACCATCATCACCATCACCACCATCACCACCATCACCACCATCACCATCACCACCATCACCACCATCACCATCACCACCATCACCACCATCATCACCATCATCACCATCACCACCATCATCACGTCATCACTTTCACCATCCTCACCATTATCACTACCACCATCACCACTACAATGGCCATCACCATCATTTCACCATCATCACCACTACAATGGCCATCACCATCATTTCACCATCATCACCACTACAATGGCCATCACAACCATCGCCCCATCACTATCACCGTCATCACCATCTTCTTAGTATATGTGCTGCTGAAGTGAGCACAGTCATCACCATCATTTTAATTACTTATCACCAATATCACCACCATCATCATCACCACCATCACCGCTACAATGGCCATTACAACCATCACCCCATCACTATCACCATCACCATCACCAGGGCTCTGAAGGACACGTGGACCATCACACAGAAGAGTCATGACTCGTTCTCACCATGACCCCCACTGAGCCAGGGATGAGGCCTGATGATTCTGTGTGCCCAACAGAGAGTAAGAGCTTGATGTGTACTCGTGAGTGAAGCAACTCTCATCCCTGACACAGAAAACCAGGTTTCAGCCTTCCATGAAAATCCCAACAGCTGTTCCTCAGCCTGGCTGATCACTCGTCACCCCTCACCCAGGCACGTTTGGTGTATGCCAGGGGACATGGGCAATGGGGAGAGTCCTAGCATACAGAATTATGGTTGAAAGAAGGTGTTCTGGACCCAGAGTGCCTGGGTTTAATCCCAGCTTTGCCCCTTCCTGGCTGTGTGACATTTGGCAAGATCCACACTCTCTGTGCCTCCTCACCTGGAAATTGGGGATGATAACAGTAGCCACCTGTGTGTGAGACAAACAGCACAGAGGACACAGGTGATAGGACGACTTACCAGCTATTTATGCGGAAACCAAGGCTCAGAGAGCAGCCATGACTGGTCAGGGGCCACACCGGGGTGCGAGGAGGACTGGGGTCTAGAACTCCTCGGTGCTTCTCCCAGTCCCACTTCCCTCTGTGCCTTCAGTCCCCGCCCCCCCAGCCCCCCAGCCGAGGTCGGGAAGGCGCTCAGGGCGCACTCACCACGGCGAGCCGTAGATGCGGAAGCCCCGCACCGTGACCTCGGAGTCCTGCAGGTAGACACAGTTGGTCAGCAGGGACTGCACGTTCTCGTAGTTCTCCGGCTTCAGCTTCGACACGGACGGGAAGTAGTAAAAGTCCTGCTTGATGAGGTCAGCCATGAATTCCTGGTCGAACGTCAGCTCGTGGTTGCCGGCAATCACGATCTTGTACTCGTACGGCAGGCTGCCTGCAGGGGTGGACAGAGACACGCGGGGCCCTGCCGTTGGCTGGCTGAGAGCCACCCCCCAGCCCGGGGAGGGTGGCGGGCAAGAGCCTCCGGAAGCCCCCGGGGGAGCAGCCCCAGCTGCTCGCTACCCCATCAGTGCCCTCGGATCAGAGGTGACAGCAACCGGGCCCTTCCTCCTCCCTGCAGCCTTCCTGTTCTGGTGGCAGCTAAGTGACAGGCCACCAGACCCAGGCCAGCAGGAGGAACCTGCACCGCTGCCTCCGGGCCCCTGGCCTCACCTTCGGGACTTGACCATCTCCAGTGGCTCCTTTGTCTAGGCCACTTTTCCCCTGAAAGGAGACCCTGCCCCAGGCCTCCAGGCCTGGGCCCCAGCCTCACTGTCCCAGGCCACGGACCACGCAGGGAGCCTGACTCAGGAGGCTCCACGCTCCAGCAGGAAGCACAAGTTCCTCACAGAGCCCGTGTGAAACCTCTGGAGAACCCCCACTTGGGGAAGGGCCCAACCTGACTGTCCAAGCTAAGTGCAACCCGAACAAAGCTGTCTACGCAGACCACAGGCTGAACCAGCAGCAGGTCCTTCCAGGCTGGCTCAGTGCAGAGCCCAGGCCGTTCTCCCACACCGTCACCTCTCAAATAAGCAAGTCACATAACCTTTCTGAGCCTCAGTTTCCCCTCTGATCAAGGTGGGTGTGCCCGAGAAATGCCCCTTCCTGGGGGCTACGGGCCTTTCTGGCCCCTCAGACTTCACGGAGCCCCTGCCTTGTGACCGGCTTCCCAGGGGAACACAGTCCAAGAATAGCCGGGCCTTCCCGCCCTGGCCTGTGACATGAAACTCTGGATCTTCTGCCCCGTGAATGTTCTGTCAAGAACCCAATTCCAGAAATGCCCCAACTTCTAAGGACCAAGTGCCTTACTGAGTCCTGATGCTCACAATATCAGATCGGATGGGACAGACATGCAGTCGGACTTGGCTCCCAACAGGCGTTCCAGGAAGAAGTGTGCTTTTCCCAGCCCTGTGTGAGCTCCGGGAAGAGGCAGGGCGAGCCTTTGGGGCAAACAATAAGTCGTGAGAATGATAAACAATAACACAACAATGTTTTGGGCACCGTAACTACAACTATTGTATTCAAATTACAAGGGAACAGAAGAGTCCAGATGTAGTTGGAACCTTCCCTCTTCCAGCCCTGGCCCCACCCCTGAAACCAGGACCTACACATCCTGTCTGGTCTTGAGCTCTTCAGCCATGGCAAACGGCTGCCCGAGGGCCATCTGAGTCTCAGCTCAGCCCCGGAGAGGGGAAAGGAGCAAGACAGAAGTTTTCTGAAAAACTGGCAGAAAACCATAATCTTGCCCATGGTGCCCCTCCAGGCACCCCAGAATCCTTCACAGGTTTGAGAAAAGAGGGTTTTCTCCTCCTTGGCATTTATCAATTCTAGGAGCACTGAGACAATGACTAGCTCTATGGCCAGGGCCCCAGGCCCAGCTCAGCCACTACCAGCTGGTTGTCTCAGTTTCCCCACTATAAAACAGGCAAACCACTCTGGGGTTTCGGAAGACACTGAACAGAGACGCACAGCCCTTGATATCCACAGTGTCAGCTTCTCTGGGCCACCGCTTGCAGACCAGACCTACCCACAGGCACATTTTGTTTGGCGTAACTTTTCTATTTGAATCTGGTTGCCGATGTAAAAAATGCAAAAAGTGCCCCCCAAAAATGCCATTCTTTGTTTTCTAAAAATTGATCAATCAATTTTAAAATTTCATGCTCCTGGCCCAGACAAGGGCTGAGTATCTGTGCCTCCCTCGGACAGAAAGCTGTATCTGTTTGCCCCACTCCCCACCTGTCCCTAGGACCCACACCCAACCCACGTCACTCATTTTGAGGAACCGCCCACTCCTGGCAGGCTCCCGCCCCTTGGTGCTGCCAGTCTGGGCTCTCCAGGCCCTCTGCCTTTCCAATGTGCCCACCCTGCTGGGCCCAGCCCAGAGGTGCTGAGCACCTGCCTGTTCCCCAAGCCAAGCCAGAGAGCTGCAGGGTACAGGACGAGACATGTTTGCTTTATTCGTCCCATTCCTGGCAGGTCCCAGGAGAAATCTGGCAAACAAAGCCACCAACAGCTTTACAGGGTGACATGGAGAGAGAAGGCCTCAGCGGCCCTGCTCCAGCTGCTGGAGGGGAGGGAGGAGTTTTGCGGGGGTCTGAGCATCTGGGGAAGGGTCGTGGAGGACACCCCAGAGAAGACTGCCATCTCCATCATTGGGCCAGCCACCCTGGATAAAGGCCGGCCCCTCCAGTCCCCATGGAACTCTCCAAGATACGCTCTGTAGCTGGAGACATGAGGCTCTCAGGCCAGGAACCTGCCCAGGTCCCACAGCAGGTGAGCAGGGGCGGGGCCCGCTGGACATTGGTCCAGCTGATCCCGCATCTCTGGGTCAGCGACTCTGACTCCTTTAAGGCCTCCAAGCCACGGAGTCAGCTGGGAGCCCTCGCTGAGCCCCTTCCCACACTGCAATCGGGGGACAAGGGGTGGCCTCTGCTCACTGCCTTCCAGCTCTGACTCTGCGTTTTGACTTCACGTCACCCATTCGTCCCAGTCTGGGCCCCGCCCTGGCGGGGGGAGCCGCACTAATGTATTTACGTCCTGTCTCTGACTGGGGGTGTTACTTAAGCTAATTAACAAATGACTCCAACTGTACGGTTCCATTTATTTCTGCAGCTCCCGACTACCGGGGACCGGGGAGTGAGCACGAAGCTGCCAGCTCTGCCCTGTTCCTCCCACCTCCACAGAGGAGGGAACTGAGGCTTCTTCCCTCCCAGGGAGGAGTAGATGGAGTTCAAGGCTCCTGTACACAAAGCCAGGTGTGGACGGGAGCAACAACCTGATGCCTGATACCCTCAAATACTGTCTGGGCTCTCCCTGAGAAGCAGGTGCCACGTGGCTCGGAGGCAGGGGGCACGTCCATTGGCAAACACATCAATGGTCCGGCACCGCGCCCCTCTGAGCTGGATGTCCAACCACAGACATACCTCTCTGGATGGTCACTTGGACCTGGCAACTCGCCAGCTGTGTATAACCATCACAGGCACCAAAGTAGAACTATCCCCATTTTCCATCTGGGAAAAGCAAGACTCAGAGAGGTTACCCAAGTTTACCTAAATCACTAATGAGGGGACTGGTAACCACAGACGGCACTGGGCACTTGGTAGACCTTGGGGTTTGACCTCATCAAACTCACCCAGAACTGGCACCCTAAACCATCGTGCCCACTGCCTCCTAGTGAGTGTGCGGGTGGGTGGCGGGTTGGAGGATGGATGGACAGAGATGGACAGACTACGGATGAATGGATGGATGGGGAGAGATAGGTGAATACATTTATTAATCCATCCATCCATCCTGGGATAACTCTGCCTATCTTCTTTACACCAACTGACCTCCAACTCCTGGGTCCCCTCACCTTTCCTCCAAACCATTTCTCCAACTGTCCCAGCAGGGCATGTTTGCAGACCCATGTCCCTCCCCGCCCCCCAACCCTGAATATCCATCTTTGAATCTTCTCTGATCAGACCTGCTCTCTCCCAAGTGGGAGTCAGAGAGCTGGAACTAAAGCTCTGGAATGGACTGACCATTCTGGAGTGGTGTCGAGAAGTCCCCTCCTCTATTCTAGGACTGCTACCTCTGTTGTTACAGCCTAAGGCTGCCTTAGCTTCCAGGTGCTCCCATGATCCTGCAGCTCTTACCAGCTTGACTGTGGATAAAATGCCCCCTGAGCAACCAGCACAGGCTTTCTTGCTTGGCTTCAGCCTTCCCCTGCCTCTGTCTGTGCCGTGAAGCTGGGGAGAGTTTGTGGACCTTGGTGACTGGGTAACTGGTAGGGGCTTTGTGGGTAAAAAGATGAGATGAACGCAAAGTCTTCAGCACACAGAGGAAAGTAATGCTGTTCCCTTTGTCCTTCCCAGCGGCAGGGAAGCAGGCTGGCCTGCAGGGGAGCCGCCCAGTACGTGAGGGAAGCACCTGCCTGACAAAGTGCCTGAAGGGCCTGAACACCGGGAGAGGGACTTTTCTGCAGCAGGTGAAGCTGAGAGAGGGGACAGATGGGTCCCCGTGTTTTTTCTTACCCACCTCCCCTTGTCGGCCCCTCAGAAGCAAAAAATCCAGTCAGCCTACCCAAAAATCCCATCAAACCAGAAACTCGCTTTCTTCCTGGAGGCTGGGCCCCATTGTAATACCACCCCCCACCCCCTGTTCCAGACCGTAGAGAGACACCATCAGAGACACTTTGATGAATAAGACTCAGTCATGAGTTCAGTCCCAGAAGTGGCACACAGGGGTTCCAGCCACACCACAGAGCAAACGAAGGGGGAAACTGGAGATCAGAGAGGGGACGGAACTGCCTGAGGTCACACAGCGAGAGAGTGGAGAGCCGGGATGTGAACCCCTGCTTTCCCACCTCGGGAGTGCTGGACAGCAGCCACACCAGCCTCTCCCGGGACATGCCAGATGTGCTGTGGACTGGAAATGATGAGGACAGGTAGGAGGAGCTAAGCATGGGAGTGACAGGCTGGTTAGGTCCTGGGCAGGGTGGCTGATCTCCCAACCTGATCCTTGAGAAGCCCCAAGACCTCAAGAAAACCAGCCCTGCTTTCCAGAATGCTGGGTGTTGTCCTACCTGTGTATTCTGCAATGCTCAGACCCTCTCCCTAAATGCTTCCTTTCTTCTCGACCAGATTATCTGAGTTCCTGGCATTTGCTAGCCATGGATTTGTTGGTGGTAAAAGTGAGCTGAGCAGTAGAGGATGACCTTAGCGGTTGAACTTTCCACTTGCCGTATATATCCTAATAGATATGCATCCACATACGGATGCCACAAGGCAAGTGTGCACGGCGTTCGGGGCTCACAGAGGGACACAAATACAAACCTCTGCTACTTGTGCTTCCAAGATTAATCTCCTTCCGAAGGGCTACAATTCTTTTTTGCTCACGCGTATCCGTCCCATCGAA